GACAAGATGGTTGGACAGTGTCATCGAAGCAACCAATATGAATCTGACCCAACTCCGGGAGGCAGTGGAAGACAGGAGGGCCTGACGTGCTCTGGTCCATGGGGTCATGAAGTGGGACACGACTAAACAAGAAGAACCATATTATTAAATATATGTATTTTTCAGAAATTGGGCATTTTTTAAATCCAAAATGTGGACTAAAGCAACAATATCAACCGTTCTTCTGCTTTTGGTATGAAGTTTCTTCTTAAAGGCACTGGTTTTATATTCCAACCATAAATAATTCAAGCTCACTCCCCACACCCCAATTTGCTAATAATTATTGGAGGCAATAAAAGTAGGAATGTCGGTATTATCTCTGTCAAAGAAGCAACCTTCAGGCTTTTCGAATTCTTCTCGATCACCACAGCTAGGAGGGTAGGTGGAACAAACAGTGGCCCTTTTAAACAAAGTGAGCTTAAAAGGTCTAATCTGATACTGTACGTATTTGATCAGATCAGGAACACCAACTCAAATGAAAGTTCTTGACTCATGCGGCTTTCCGTAAAAGGCGCGCAAGCACGCAGGCAACCTCTGTTGTCAGTATTCCAGGCAGACATTCATCCCAGCCAATGAGTACAAACGCTTTCACCACGGGGCGGAAGTGCTAAAAAGACGTTTTTAGGCTTAGGGCGGAGACGGGCGAACTCTCGTTGTATTACTGTCGCGAGATCTGGGAAGTAGTCCCGCCCACTATTTTTCCTCTTCTTGGTCTCTCTGGGACGGTTGCTAGGCGACGGTGGAACACGAAGCGGCTATGGGCGTGCTGCGGAAGGGTTACGCTGAAACGCGCGAAGGGTCGAGGGCAGATCCAAGATGGCGGCAGCGGCAGGGCCACTCCGGGGCCTGATGCGGTGCGTCCGCTGGGTCGGAGCCGGGCGCGTCCCCGGAGCTCCGCGGCGGGGGTTTCACAGGTCTCTGCCGGCCGCTGCTCAGGTACGGGGGAAAGGGACCTTGGGGGGAAGTGGAGCGGAGGGGGCCTTTGGGAGCAAGGTTACACAAGGAGCTGCTGCTGCTGCAAAGAGAGGAAATGAGGGTTTCCCAACTGGAAAAGGACAAGGAGGGGCGTCCCCTAGTTTAGCATCTGACGCGAAAGGCAGAAGAGCCTCTGCACTTTCTCAGAGGCACTGTCGCCGCGCCAGTTGGGACACGTGCTTTGTTTGTTTGTTTTTTAGCGAAAGCCTCCCGATTCATAGGAGCTCCATAAATCGAAACCTCTGTCAAAGGCCCCTCATGGCCAAAGCCAAAACCTCCTCCTCCCATCTCTGTTGAGTGTCTCGTTTTGAGACGGTAAATGTGGGGGGAATATGGGGAGGGGAGGGGTGGTATGGCTTTACTCCGTTTTTGTACCCTGCCTTGGCACTTTCCAATAACGGGATCGAAATACGGGTCAATCCGGCTGTGTTTCCGTCCCGTGAAAGGCTTGTACTATATATAGTTTAGTGGAGTGGAGAATTTCCCATAAAGCTCCGTAGGACTTTATATTTGGCAGGTGCACAGAGAATTGCAGCCCCTTGCGCTCTTCTAAGGACGAAGATGAGCTTTTCGGATGTTGTGCTAGCGTTAGAAAATTGAGAGGACAAAGCAGGAGAGAAATCTAGGCGTCTAGTGAGAGAAGAAAGTTGTCTGTGTGGGTGGATATGTTGATAAAGTGATAATATGCCTCAAGGTGGAAACGGTTTGCATGCGTATTTTATGCAGCCGATCATGCAGCTGTCAGGTACTGAGCACCTGGATCTGTGCCTGCGTCTGTTGCTGGAAGCTTGTTATCAGATAAAAGCTCTTTTATCTGACAGTTTGGGCCAGTAGGTTTCTCACAATTAGAGCAACTAAGTTCATGGCTATAGACGATAACTTGTCAGGTCCAAATACTGCACAAGCAAATATTTTGTAACAGGGTACATAATAATTAATAATGCTTTGCTTAAAATATTTTGATTGCAATAGCGATTGAATATACAGTATTGAAGAACTTGGCAGGTGTCACTTGCACCCACCCCCACAGCTGCTAATCTGGTGCTCAGTGGCATCATTCCCTAAAAGGCTGCTTATCAAAGGAGAAGGTGGTAGTTCCATGATACTTTTCTGGGGAAACCAGTGAGTCACTGATTTTGAAGAGATATGACCCACTTGAAGGTTGTGGAAGTGGTCTGATAGGATTCTCCAAGGTGTTTGCAGAGGACTAATAGGCTCTTCTTGAGCAAAGAAAAAAATGTAAATTCTGAGAATGGTTCAAAATAACTCAGTGTAATACTGTGTTCTTATTTTGAATTGAAAAAGAGATCTCTTTTTTCCCCTCAGCAATCTTTTATACAGCTTTAAAACAGGGAAATGTTCCTGGACTAAACCTGGGTGACATCCTATCCTTGTTTGCCTTTTCCCTAATGAGGATCTAGCCTGGTATGGAATCATACGTTCCAAGAAGAGTTGGAGGAAAGGAAATTTTTCACAAAGAGTGAATCTAACCCATTCTGCCTACTTTGATAAAAATCAACATGCATGCTCATGCACACATTTGCCATAGAGGTGCCTAATCCAGTGTCTAGTAAAAAACAAAGATGAGCCTGGCTTAGCCTCTAAATATTGATGGGCTTCATCTCCCAGCATTCCTACTAGGGTTAATTTTGCTGCCTAGGGCTTATGAGAGTAACAGTCTGACAACATCTGGAAGGCTGCATTTTGCTTTCCCCAAACTAAAATATCCTGTCTTGAAAATAATGGTGGGATTACTCTGTAGTAAACAGTTGGAGATGTGGGCCTAAATATGTCTGTCATTATTAGGTGACTGTCCGTGATGCTTTAAACCAGGCCTTGGATGAGGAGTTGGAGAGGGATGAGAAAGTTTTCCTGCTGGGGGAGGAAGTTGCTCAGTATGATGGTGCATACAAGGTAAGGAGACTCTCAGTACAGTATTTAGGAAGGCATACCCAGTTTAGTAGTTAAAAGAGCATATTTTTATATCTACAGATTAGCAGAGGGCTTTGGAAGAAGTATGGTGATAAGAGAGTAATGGATACTCCTATATCCGAGGTATACATTCAGAACTTGTTTGAATTTTTTCCATTTTGTTTTTGATCCTTGTTCATAAATACATCTACCAGGTCCTGTTAAAGTTGCTTTCCAAGAAAGTTAGGTTTATATAAAATGTTCCTCTTTTTCTTTCACCAGATGGGCTTTACTGGAATTGCTGTAGGAGCTGCCATGGTATGTTCTTTTGTGTGATGGGAGGGTGAGGGACAGAGAAAGGGAGAAGGAAAGCACATTTTATATAGAAATGTTATTGATTCACATTTCTGAACCCCTTGATAACAGTTGCCAATTTGCTCACTCACTACCATCTGTGTACATGCTATTTTATTAAGAAGGGGTACAGCAGGTTCCTAGTTGAAGGGAATGTACAGTTTGTAAAAAAAGATCAGAAAAATGGGGGAATGGAGATATGGTTGAAATGTGGTTGCTTCAGACAGTATTAACAAAAAAATGGGGGAATGGAGATATGGTTGAAATCTGGTTGCTTCAGACAGTATTAACAAAGCTGCTTTGTTTTAACAGGCTGGCTTAAGACCTGTTTGTGAATTCATGACCTTTAACTTCTCCATGCAAGCTATTGATCAAATCATAAACTCAGCTGCCAAAACCTACTACATGTCTTCTGGGTTGGTACCTGTCCCCATTGTCTTCAGGGGTCCCAACGGAGCCTCGGCAGGAGTAGGGGCCCAGCACTCCCAGTGTTTTGCAGCTTGGTATGGACACTGCCCTGGACTGAAAGTAGTTAGCCCTTGGAGTGCAGAGGATGCAAAAGGTCTGCTTAAAGCCTCAATCCGGGATGATAATCCAGGTGAATGCAACCGTCTGTCTCTCTCTCTGTGTATAGTTATTCCCTGCAGCTAGTACTAGCTTTTTGCCTCACATCTGCTTTTAAAACTTTGTGCAGGCTGGTGAACAAATTATAAATCTGGTCTGTGGGATCATTTCTGTGCTGGGCTCAATTCACCAGCTGGGGTAACACAGACTGCCTTTCATTCACTTCCCCCCCCCCCAAAAAAAGAGAGGAATACTTGTCTTTTTTGATGTCTATTGAAATATGAGAATGAGGAAGTCATTTTGATTTTCTGCTTTGTCTCCCATTGTAGTTGTTAGGGTACACAATTTGCAGTCATTTCAATTTGCATTTAATTTTCAACTCTTCATTTATATGTATTGCTTTGGGAACTTCTGGCTGAAAGGTTTAGATATAGAAAATGAATACTACGTTTGTGTTGTGGATACAGATGTAAAGGAGCTTTAGAAACAATGTTCATAAAGAGCAGCCTCGTGCAAGTCGAAACAGAAGAGAATTTGACATAGACTTGACAAGCACAAGCTGCTTACGTGGGCTTAAGCACTTCTTTGGATCAGTCTGTTGGTAATCATGCAGACATGTGAACAAAGGTTCTTAAATGGCATACATTATTTTGAATAGATTTTTGGGCATTTGCTGGCACTTTGGAAGAAAACAAGTGGAGATTTAGCATGTGGGTGAGAGAACAAGTGTACAGTGCCCTTGAGTTTATTGGTGTGTAGGAATAATAAGTTCAAGAGGATGAACAGCGATGAGCAGAATGTATCCCAAGCTTTTGATCTTGAGCAGGACAAATTGCTCAGGAGCTCTGATAGGCATCATTTCATTTGCAATGAGCAACTTTCAGTCTTTTCCCTGTTTCAAAGATAGTCAAAGTGTGGTCTTCCAGATGTTGTAGACTACTCAAACTAGCAGAGGCAGTAGTAGTTGAGAAGTCTGGGGAATGCTGTCCAAAAGATGTTGTAGACTACTCAAACTAGCAGAGACAGTAGTTGAGAAGTCGGGATTGCTGTCCAACAACATCTGAAAGGACCACAGACCTGTTTGAAAAGCTTCATTTTGGAAATTAAATATGCTTGCTTGGCAATGGTTCTCCTTTGAAAAGCTTCATTTTGGAAATTAAATACAGTATTCTTGCTTGGCAATGGTTCTCAGATTACAATCCAGTTTGCATTGGACAAGATAGTTGCCCTTCTGAAGGAAGAGTGAGAAATCATTTATGGCCTTGCAGTTTTTCCTCCTCTGTTCCACTGAATTAGTTGGGCACTAGCTTTGCAGCAGCTGTTCATGTGATCAGTTTATGCCTTCATCTGTTTACTTTTGATACAAATGAACAAAGGTGATGCTGATGAAGAAATAACTCTTACACACATTGCTATATTCCACTTGAATTCTGCACCTTGGGGTGTTGCTTGTAACTCAGTATTTTGTTACATTTTAAACATCTTAAGTCGTCCTCTGGTTTTGGATACTGTGCATCTAGTCTCCAAATCCAAATTTCTGGGGCCAGCAAAAGGAGCATGAGCTATTGAGTTGTGCCTTGCCTTGTCCGCATCCTCTTCCACCTCAGTTATGCTTTTGGTCTAGCTCATCTTTTCCTCAATTTGCTGCCCCACTGATCTGGTGAACTACATTTTGGGTGTGATTGATAGGATTTATAGTCTAAGCTCTGGAGGGTACCAGGCTGTGGAATAATGTGGCTCATAGTACTGAAGTGGGAACCTGATGGCTTTTATGCCCCAAATGCCTTTGAGAGCAGACCAGATTCTTTTGACTCATCACATATTTAAATCATTTGCATCAGATGCTTTACATTTACATTTTTTAAATTGCCCTTTTAGTTGTAATGTTGGAAAATGAGTTGATGTACGGCGTGCCCTTTGAATTGTCTGAGACTGCTCTGTCAAAGGACTTCATTGTTCCTATTGGAAAGGCTAAAATAGAAAGAGAAGGTAAGCTTAAATTAGTACTTTCTGCTGAAATTATCAGAACTCTTCATCTTTCCACTGAAATAGTTGCTGTGGTGTTCTTCTAAACACTTTAATCTGTCAAATTGTTTCTTGCTGAAACACACTCCCTTTCTACCAAAGACATACCAAAAAGAGACTACTGTATTCCCACCAGACACTTATTTGCCAGGATTCAGAGCTCTGTCTGCACTGATGTGTGCTTGTTAATTCCTATTCATGTACCATTGTCTATTTTCTCTATAAAAGTGACTTCATTCACCTGTTGAGAACCAATGACAACATAATTTTCATCATTTAGCCAAGGCTAGCGTTCTGTTCATCTGGATGTCCATTGCTCTTGCCAGTGACTGGCTTGGCTTTTACAGAGGTTATCACAATTGAGAGGTGTACATGCTTGAAGCTTGTTCTTGGCTTGCTCTACCAAAATATTCTTCTATCTGGCAGACAAGCAGGGTAGGGATTATAGTTCTGCTTTACTCTTCATGAGAACAAGACTATTTGCACATGTTATGTAGTCTTCATCTTGGCTTGCTCTACCAAAATATTCTTCTGTCTGGCAGACAAGCAGGGTAGGGATTCTAGTTCTGCTTTGCTCTTCATGAGAACAAGACCGTTTGCACATGTGTAGTCTTCACGTTTTACAAGTAGTATCCAAAATCCTGTTGCTTAGCATAAGTGAGGCGCTCGCTAAGCGAGGCACCACTGTAGTATCCAAAATCCTGTTGCTTGGCATAAGTGGTGACTGTTAAGAGGACACCCATTTGAACTAATGGAGGAGTTGACTCATCAAACCCCCATTAATTCAGTAGGCCTACACTAGTGTGGTTTATTGTGCTAAGTGATGAGATTTTGGCTAATAAAAACCATTTGGGTTGTTCCAAGAGAATGTTGCCACATTATTAGGCTTGGTTATTGGCTTATTCTGTTCATGTAGCAGTGACATGTAAGGCTGACAATGCCATCAGCCACAACAGTTCTCCAGAAATTGAAGATTTGCAAAGGTCCTGGGGCTCCCATGGGATGCCTCTTGCCAGAGGAAAGCCAGTGGGAGGCAGGGGAAGCGTTTAATTCCCCCAAATCACTGCCACTGGTGTAGTAGTCTCAGTAGTGGCAGTTTTTAGTTACTCAAGACTTCTGCCATCCTGCCTCCCCACAATTAAAAGGAGCCTACAGGCGCCTCTGCAGAGTTGGATTGGAAATCTTTAATTTGCAGAAGACTGCCGTAACTAGTATCATCAGCCTTCACAGCATAGGTTTCGCTGCTGGATTTTAACCCTTTGTTCATTAAGTCTACATAGTCTTTTAAACAAGAGAAGGACAAAGAATGGCTCTATACTTGTGGTTTGGGCTCACCATTGGCTATACTGTTAGGGCAGTTGCAGTCCGTCCAGTCCAAGACTGCACTGTGCCTTAAGAACTGGTCAGTGTGCCTTCAGTTGAACATAAGAGTGATGACTCTAGATAATCTGCTGTTAACAATTCGGGGTGACCTCTGTGTTCTGAAAACAACATCCCTGTAGTTCTGAATCCTCACCAGCCTCTGTGTTTCAGGAACCCATATCACCTTAGTGTCTCATTCCCGACCGGTTGGCCACTGTCTGGAAGCAGCTGCTATACTTGCTAAAGACGGGGTGGAGTGTGAGGTGTGTATTGTGCTGTGGGGTGGTAGTTCATGGTGAAGAAATCTTCTTAATAAGCTACTTCAAAACCAGTGCTCTTTGGCTTGTCCATTCTTCTTATCACTTCCTCTATGAATAGGAAAGAATCCTTGCCATTCTCAGCCAGAGGACCACAAAAACACTGATAAAATATGGTTATCTGATTTGTATACATTATGCCAAACTTAAAATTACAATTAAAACACTTAATCATTCAGTTAGAGGGAATATCGAAAGCTGCCTTGTCCTAGTTGAGATTGTTGATTTGGTCTTGTCAACTCTTGATCGGTATCAGCTCCACAAGGTATCACCCTGCTCGTCCCAGATGGCAGGATCTGAATCTAAAATGCTATGTTTGAAGCATGGGTTTGGAAGCAATTGATAGGGCTTTTACTTCAGTTGAAAACCTGAGCCCAATTAATTTGGTAACATCTTTTCTAAAATTAATGTTTATATAAAAAGAACAGAAATACTATCTTGAGAGTCACTTTCTGTTTCATTAAGCAGCTACTGCTTTCAAAGATGGTTATATAATCTAAAAATTGTACTGTATTTTATATGCAGATTTAATTGAAACAGACTTGATATTCATGATTGACAAAGGTATCACCAGGCTTGTCCCAGATGGCAGGATCTGAATCTAAAATGCTATGTTTGAAGCATGGGTTTGGAAGCAATTGATAGGGCTTTTACTTCAGTTGAAAAGCTGAGCCCAGTTAATTCGGTAACATCTTTTCTAAAATTAATTTTTATATAAAAAGAACAGAGATGCTATCTTGAGAGTCACTTTCTGTTTCATTAAGCAGCTACTGCTTTCAAAGATGGTTATATAATCTAAAAATTGTACTGTATTTTATATGCAGATTTAATTGAAACAGATTTCAGAGACTAACCAGGTGATGGTTTTGTTCTAAATGTAATTTCAAGATGTCACAGCAAGACACTTAACCCTGCCCCCCGCATTAAAATCCTACTGAATCTGCATCTCCCCACAAGAGCTATTCTAGGATTTTCGCTTTGCAATTAAGGTTGAAATTCTTGCCAGCGCCATCCCTTATCTGCTGTCCCTGCAGTTCCACATTTTGCCTGAAAATACAATGTTTAGAGTGGACGAGGAAATCCCTTTCTGGGAACATTTTTCTGTTCAGAGGAGGGAAATATATCCAGGAACTAGGACGGGACCATACTGGAGTTGATGAGATGTGATCTGAAAACTACCTACACATCTCCTGCAGGTGATAAATCTTCGGAGTATTAGGCCAATGGATATTCAGACAATTGAATCCAGCGTTATGAAGACAAATAATCTTGTAACAGTGGAAGGTGGTTGGCCACAGTTCGGAGTAGGAGCTGAAATCTGTGCCAGGATTATGGAAGGTATTTATAATGATTGTCTCATGTTGGGCATTCATACAGTGCTCACCTTGGCGATTTCCTTTTACTTATGGTTTATAAACTGACAGGAGTTAGAAATAAAAGAAAATCAAAGTTCCACTCTGAGAACCATTTATATCTATGAAATGAAAACAGAATTCCTCTAAATCTTCTTGGTCTCCTTTTGACAGTGGCCCATTTCACCAGCCACAACAGCAGTTACGAGCTTCAATACTGAATAGAGGGGAAATGCTTCATTCAGTGGCAGACAACTATCTTTATAAATCTCTGTTGTATGATGTACTTAAAAATCCATATGGAGTTCAGCTGTTACACTGCAAATTGTAGGGAGGCTATTCTTCAGGTCCTCAAGTCAAATTAAACAGGTTTTGCTCTTATATTTGTAGTAGTTTTTAATAAGAACATTGAGCCTATTCCATCTTTCTGAAAAGCAGCAATGACGGCTTTAGTTTGGTGAGATTTGGAGCTGTTACAGGGGAGTTTTTGGTTTCCTGTCAGTTCTCCCTAACACTTTATCAGCTAGGGCCACACGCAGACTAAGATGTAATCCTAGGTGAGCAGGTTAAGACATCCAGAGCTGAACAAGCATCTCCTCTACACCCTTCTTAACCTTGACAAATGAGCCACACCATTCTGTTCTGCTTTTAGGTCCTGCTTTCAACCACTTGGATGCACCCGTTGTTCGCGTCACAGGAGCTGATGTTCCTATGCCTTATGCAAAGGTTTTGGAGGAGAACTGCATACCTCAAGTAAAAGATATCATATTTGCTGTGAAGAAAACACTGAATATCTAAGTCTTCTGTGTATTTGTAAATGTGGATGCTATTCTTCAACCCCTTCGGTCTTTAAAAATATTTATGGAATGTATTGCAAGCCTTTATATACAGAGCTAGACATTGCATAGGAAATAGAGATGAAGGCAGTTTGGAAAGAAGTGATGTTAGAAACAATCTGTTACAAAACCTACACTGCCTTGCCATTCTCTTAAGGAGGAAAGAAAGGGAGACTTCAACAGCCTAAAACTGCTATAATAATACTTGTAACTCTCTGAAGAACCCTCATTGTAAGATGAAGTGTTTTGTTTATCATTGTAGATGAGATCAGGGTTGCTCTGATCAAGAATCAGCTTATGCTTATTTATGATGCTTGGAATAAAGAATATTAACAAAATAATGTGCATGCCCTATTTAGAAGCAGTCTGATGGACCAGCCTAAGCCTATATAGACATAGGTTTCAAAAATGAAAATTTGTAGACATGACCTAAAATGTGGCAGACACTTGGGAAAGAAACAAATAAAAAGGGGATTTTAATCCCATTTGTAATCTCTCAGCTACAGGTGACTAGTATACAGCCGATGTAACCTACAAAAGATTTTCTTTCTCTCCTTCCCCGACCAAAAATATGAATATAGGATCTTTCTACTAAAGAACTAGAATTTACATCTTTTATAATGGTGAAAGTTACTATTAAACCACTAGGCTGGTGTGTTCTATTCCCAACACCAATGAAATTCTATTGACATTTATTGTAATAAAAATATGATTGAATATATTGCAGGTTACATGAACTCTTATACACAGTGACATTCTCTGCATAGTAACAAACATTGATGTATACTCATTTTGAAGATGGATTACTAATAATCCTTAAACTGCAATTCAAGGGTTTGATAAAATCATAATATTTTTCACGGAAACATTTCTATCGAAATTATTTAGCTCTTTTAATTCCTAGCTCGATAATGCATCTCACAGTGTTATTAAACTTCGCTTGAAAGAAATGCTCTGCAAGTCCTTTACACATGTAAAACAGTTCAGTTTGTAGCTTACCACAAGCTCAGTTGGGTCCTGCATTGTACGTTCTTCTCCTTAAAAGTACAGTTGGTACCAAATTATCTTAGTGCTTTGCAGGAAGAAAGGGAAAAAAACAAGACCTAAGCTCTCCATCAATGTTACAGATTTCACATTAAGTGCCTTTTAGCATAATTAAGGTAACTCGTTATATCAAACATCACTGTGCCATGGATAGTCTTTCAAAAGCCCTTGGGATCACATCATAGGCAATAAACTCTCGCTGTTGAGCTTTTTAAATTTTTTTATTCTCTTTGAAGGAATACTACCTACCAAACAAGATTCTGTAAAAGAGTAAGAGTTCCTTTAAATTGGAATTAACACTTTTCACCCTCCAAATGGCAACAGCAATCCAACACAGTGCTGCTAGCATAATAAGAGATTGTTTTAAGGAGAAAAGAAAAAGCTTGAAATGGTTCTAAACAGGCAACTGTAAAACAAAACCCCCACTAGGCAGCAGCTAAATGAAACTAATGCAAAAAAAAAAATTGTTCCTAGAACACAAGTGGAAAATAGATCCAAGCTGATGTGGCATGAATAGTTTCAGCTGATTCGAGGAGCACTGTGGTCACGGGTTTCTGTTTTCTTCAAAGCTCCTTTCTGGAAAGTTTGGATGGAGCTGAGTAAGGCGCCCCGGCTTGTGACATTAAGAGGCCGTGAGTCAGGCTGTGTTGGCACGTCCAAATTGGGAGGAGGGGGAGGAGCTGCTGGTGGCGGAGGTGGCGAAGGAATGGTTGAGGTGCCTGCTTGAAGAGAAGAGACATTATCAACAGAGAAACTCCGTGTAAACAAGACGCTGCTAGACAAAATGATAACACTACCAAATGTAACAAAGGGGGGGGGAGAAAGAACCATGCACTCTAAGTCTAAAAAGGTTATTAGATTTCAAAATAAAAGAGACAGGAATGCAGCCATTTTGGAAAAGGATGAATATAAAAGAGCAAGCGATGTAATTGCAGTAAGATGCGCTAGAGAGTCATGAGATCAGCAGGCCTTAATCTTCCCCACCTTAGGTATAGATTCCAAGTGCAGTAGTATCACAAGACCTCTCACAAACAGAATATCAGACTGAACAGACTATTATCTGATGTGCACTTTGGGGATAATATGTCACAGGTCTTGAGCCAACTATATTGCCTTCCAATGTGTATCAGGGCCAACTCCAGGAGTTGCTTTGACCAATAAAACCCAAAATGGCACCGGGTCAGGATATCTAGGAGACTTTGTCGTTCCATATGAGCCCACCCATAAGATGAAATGTTCAATGGCTGTGGCTCCCACTCCCATGAAAAGCTACACTGCTGAGTATCAAGATGGTGGGGCTTTTTCTGCAACACTAGGACAACTGTAGGACTCTGTCACAAGGAAGGCCTGGTTAAGTCTATTCCCATTGAATCTCATGATTTAAAAATGTCATTCTTTCACAGGCATATGGCTTTTCATATACAGTGGTGCCCCGCATAGCGAGGTTAATCCGTTCCAGATTAATCCTCGCTATGAGGAAACCGCTAAACGGGATGGAAAATGCCATTGGAATGGCTTCTATACTCACCGTTAAGCGAAATTTCCTCATAGTGCCGCCATTTTCGCGCCTTCGGTAAGCAAGGGCAGGGCGTGAAAATCGTTGCGGTGGCCATTTTGGGTCATCCGGCGGCCATTTTGGAGCCGCCGAACAGCTGATTTCCTGGCGTTGCAATGCGAAGATCGGTAAGCAAAACGCTTACCGATCTTCGCAATGCGAGTTTTGGCCATAGAGGCCATCGGTAAGCGATCGCATTAGCAAGCTCAAAAAAGATCGCTATGCGATTTCGTCGTTATACGGTGCGCTCGTTAAGCGAGGCACCGCTGTATTGGTCCTATTTCATTGTGATTTTTTATCAGGGTTTATAAACTGCAGTACATTGTTTTGAGGGTCCTATTTCATTGTGATTTTTTATCAGGATTTACAAACTACATTGTTTTGAGGGCCTTGACAGGGAAAAAAGCAATAAATATACCTTATTAAATCAGTTAAACATAGAATAGTGCACTGTACTTAGGACGCATGAGATTGTTTTTTTATTAGGTGGAAGTTGCTACAAATTTTTCTTTTATGTCGAAAGTTATGGATGACTTTACTCTAAATTGTTCCTTCGGAGATACATGGAAAAGTATATACTGTACATCTCACCTCTATGATTTTTATATATAGTTTACATACAATGTGTGCCACTCAAAAGACAGCATTATTCATCTTCCCCCTACAAACTGCAAGGAAGTCACTAGGTGGTGGAACCCTACCTTTATAAGATCCTACTATCCAACATTAACCTGACATACACAGATTTATAATGAGAGCACTACAACATGACAAATCTGACAGTGGAGTAGGGAGCTCTGGCAGCAATTTTTGGATATTAAAGCTTTCCCCCTGCCCCCATCCCAAAGCTCCCAAAGGCTTCCCCAGATCAAAAAGGGTCCCTAGGGAGCCTAGGGATTTCAGAGGGTGGGGAGACAGGAAACTTTAAAAGGAATTAAAAGGTTAATGTCACCTGATTTACCATACACAGCTCTACCAGAAGGATCAGACAGTTTGATGGTTATTAAGAAAATTAAGGTAATCCAACCACCACTGGCAGAGCAATCATTCTGCCAGCCAAGCTCTTTTCCCAAAGACCCCCCTGTCCTCCAGGCACAACTAGGTCTCGGCAGTGTAAACAAGCTAAGGGAAGGCAAACCTGGAGGTAAGCTGCAAGCCTTATGCTGCAGTTCTTTGCACAAAGCACCAGCACAATGTCACACAATGTGGACACTTGATCTAACTGCACCCAAGAATACATAAAAAGAGCAGCCCTGTGCTAATATATCTTTCTCATCCTAGTTGCAGTAACTCTTTTATCCTCCTCCCACTTCCTTTCAGAAGGCAGAACCGAGCCAGGCAGACTACCTCCTGTCAGGTTGGCTTAATCAAATAAGCTGAATTTGATCACTTAGAAGGAACATCCTTAGGACAGCAGGGAATTTTAATTCGAGAAACGTGTTCTTTTCAAAAGGAGGCTTTTGCTGAAACAGCCTTTCTTGCTGCAATGATCTGTTGGTAATTAATAATATGAATAAAAAAAATTAAAAAAATGAAAATACATTGTTGCATAAAATGGATAAATGATGACCAAGCAGTGGGTGATTGAGCTGAGCACAGAAAGACGCAGCACATGCCAGCAACCAAGCATGATTAAGTAACCCTGCATATAACACCAATTGCCAAAAAACTTCCCAAACAACCGCATGAGACGGGGAAACAGCAGGCCTCCAGATGTTCTTGGAACTGTGACTCCCATCATAGAGTCATAGCTAACTATGCTGGGAGTGCAGCTCAGAGCTCATCATCATCATCTTAGAACTGTAGAGCTGGAAGGGACCCTATGGATCATCAAGTCCAACCCCTGTCAAGGAAGCACAGTGGGGAATCTTAGCTCCTAATCTCTGGCTTTGCAGTCGAAAGACCTCAACCACTGAGCTATCTAGCAGTTTTAATGTCCACCGAACGTGGGGAGGGCAATAGGTGCATTGCACCACTGGCATAAAAGACTGCATTTCAATCTTCCCTGGGGCATCTAGACACCGTGGGTTGTAGAGACAAAAATTAACCCATTGTGAAGCAGGAAGGAGAGGAGAGGAGCCAAATATAGAGATAAAGGTGCAACAGTAAACAACAGTAAAAATGCAAGATTAGCTGCAAAAGGGTAGGGGCTAAAGATCACAATGTCAGCAATCCAATGAAAGGCCGCATCTACACCCAGAGTTACAGGCCATCATCACACCCACTACGTAGGCACAGCCCTTGGATTTCTACATTATGGGAGTTACTTTACAGAACTGTGTTATTCTAGTACCTTCTGTCTAGAAACTAACCTTGAATAGCTGCTCAAATGACAAAGGCAATTAGGGTTTGTGTGTGTCTAACATAGAACATTTCCTCCAGCTACAGGTTTGGGTTTTTTTCTCTCTCCAGCTAATGAGTTCTTTTCTCTAGTAAAGGTAGGTTTTGATTTCACTAATGTCAAAACCACCCACAGTGCCCCTAGCACCCAGTGGCAATTTTGCAACACTTTGTTTAACTAAATTACTAGCTGGATTCTTCTCCGTATTAATATTAAGAAAAGAAAAGGTCAGCAATTTCCCCAGGATCAAGGGGGAATGAGGGTGTTATCTAGTGAATTTCTTGTTTGCATTTATTTTTGGAGATACTGTTATTTCCCCTCTGTAGTACACGAAGACACCTTCTCCTTTCAAAAAAGTGGAAAGGGACATTTCCATGCCTATATATACAGTACTAGCTCCACAACCACTACATGGCCCACAAATTAACCCCACTTATTCTTTAAAATCTTTATGAAGCCAATACTTCAAATTGTTTGGATGTTCTTTTTTTATTATTTTATTATACAGTGCTTGTACGAGTTGACTAATTCTTTCAGCAGTTAAATATGTCTGTACTTCCTCCTCTTATTAAGCACAATTTCACCTGAAATACCTTTTGTTTCCCAAAGAAGAGAAACTGAGAGGAAGGCACAATTCTATTCTACTTAACTCCAGCAAACTAAAAAGTTGTCCAGTTATGGCATAAAAGCGACAAAAGTGACAATCCAATAACCACTACAATAATCCACTACACAATTCTAAAAATTCAGTCTGTATCAGTCAACTAAAGCTTTGAATTGCATATTAAAATTTCAAGTTCACCTCGGGTTTTCTATCTCAAACACCAAAACAACTTGCTGTCCCTCCAACTCATCCGCCCATCTAAAACCATTCTCGCGATTTTGTAACTTCAAATTATCATCATCACCATCATCATCAAATGCTGAAAGCTTGCCCAGAGGCTGATTATTCCTTTCTTTCCCACCTCCTTTCCTTACAAGCACAAAGTCTAGCCACCCCGCCCCACTTCTGTAGTCAAAGGAAAGTATCCTTTCTCAAACGCCCGTCAATGAGTTGTACAGTTTCAATATCCTCAGAGGTAGCTCTCCTGTGCTTTAATACATCTGCATATTCTTCAAACCAATAAGTCAATCGATTAAAAAATCACCATAAGTCAGATAACATTCCAACCAGCTGACAGCCCTACTCAATTATAAAGGAACTGGAGAAAGTGTCAGATGTAACTTTGATTTCTTCAGAGGGAGAAGAAGGGAGACATGGTAATAGAGTGTTTGGATTATTGTTGTTTTTTTTTTTAAAAAGCTCATTTTGCCAAAATAGTCTTCAATAAAATGGCTTGTGTTTTCCCCTTTTAGCTTTTAGATCTCCACACTCTAAACGTCTTTAAAGAGAGGGAATCAGATTACTTTACCGATAATTCACGTTCAAAATGGTGCATGGTCTACTGAAGAGAGCAGAAAGAGAGAAAAGAGAGACAGACAGGAAGGAAGGAAGGAAGGAAGGAAGGAAGGAAGAAGCACAACCATTATTATTATTACGAGAGAAAGAGGATCATAACAACATTAAGGACAGAAGAGATACATCCGTAATTGCATACTGTTATGAACACAAAAAAAAGTTAGACAAACTGGCTTGCTTTCTGTTTTTCTACAGCCCAAAATACATCATTTACAGACACCTACACAGTACAGCCTTTGTCGCATAAAAATATTTCCGTGTCTTTGAAAGAATTGCAGCAATATCTGAACGTGCTCTATAATATTAAACCCAGAGCTTTTTCTAGGAGGTGGGGAGATGTTAATCTTTTTTGGACTGTCGGTCT